AATTAAACCAGTACGGAATAACACTAGTCAATAATTAAGTTCGAATCAATGATTGTTGCAAATAGCCTAGCCAATTTGCATAACGAAACACGCAAACAAACGTTTGCATAGATTTATTTGTCTATCTGTATCTGTAAATTGTTCTTAATTAAAGCTTTATGAATCGCAGAGCACATCTACATTATTATACAAATTGATTTAAATAAAATTTACAAATCAAATTACACATAAAACAAGAGCTATACCATGTATCTTGTATCTTGTATTTTGTATCTCACTATTAATATCATATTTTGCATTTATCTTTTTTAACAAATTTTTACTGGGACTTGTTTATTTTGTCTATATTGTTTAAATTCTTTTATGTGTGAACTATTTTATACGTCATACGACAATTTTTTAATAAAAATTGCTGCTTCTTGGCATATATATTTCTATTTAATAGCATAATGCGAAATTTTTTTGCAGACAGGAATTTAGTTTAAATTTGTTTGCATGTCTAGTTTGGCTAATTTAATTTAAAAAAAAATGTTAGCGTTTCTTAATTGCATTCTAATAAAAATTTATAAACTCTTTTCTAGTAAATAGATTGTTGTCAATATAATATAGCATCTAAGTCACATTATTGAACTGTTAGTAAAGCATTATTTAATATAAAAGTAACTCAAAAGTATTAGTAGAATATTGGTTAAAAGTTTATTTCTTTTTTGTTAATGGACAGAAACAGAACAGATCTTAAAAGTTTTTCTCTCTCTTCTCATTACGACAGCTTTTGCAAAAGTCATTGGATGTAATATCTGTTCTTGAGAGTTATCAACCTAAAACCTATCAACCTGTTAGATGCTTTCACTTCTTAGTATTGAAATGTTCATGATTTTTATATATTATTTTAGTCAAATGATACATACTTTAGAAATATATTTTTAACACAGCCTAATGGTTATTTAAGGAGCATCACAACTCACTTCTTTTGAAAAATTTATTCTTCTAATTGCTAAAATTAGATTTTAAATTAAATTTGATGATTAAATCAACATGTCAAAGTATGTATATTTTAAATTAAATTTATTTAACTTATTCACTGAAGTAAGTAACAGCACACTGTGTATGAGTTGCTCTACTAAAATAAATTTACATCATTTACGATGTAAATCCTTCACTTTATCATGCAAGCAGTCATTGTTTAACATAAATAAAAGTCAAGGTGACACCTAACAGCACCAAAAATGTTAAAAATTCACAAGAAAAAAAATAAAACCAAGTAGAAACTAACATATAATAATTTTAAGATATATAAATGCACGCATCTGCTTCCAGGATATAGCATTTCATTATAAGCAGCAAATAAACTTAATTTACCCATGCAATAGCCGCACAAAAAATTTCACTCACTCAATTCTTTAAAATTCTTGTGAAAAAAAAGTAAACCTACTTTAATTTTTTTTTTTAATCTTAACCTGTGTTCAAAGTATCTCAATTTCTGGACATATGTAGGCGAATAAGTTGCGAGTGTGTGGAAAACATGGAACACGTTTGTCGTGCCTTGACTGCATTTTTAAGTCTCACATTTTTAGCTGGCACATGTCTTCAGACATATTTAAATGAATGTATCTTAAAGCCAAAAATCTTTTGCCAAAAAGAAACAAGTTCCTCCTTTACTGCATTCATTTGCATATGCAGATGTTTACTATGAAAAACTTGGACTACTTATAGAATATGAGGCTAGCTAGTCTATGTCCTCCTTTTTTATGTGCAGATTTTTAGCGTATCCATGTCATATATGAGTGTAGTAGCATTGTTGTTTTTACTTTAATAAATGCTCTAGTAAGAGTTCTAAATATGTGGGTGAAACTGCAATGAGAGAACGATTTCTGTTTGCCATTTTGAGGTCAAGAAATAAACATTTAAATTGAATGTACCAAATGCTACTCTGCTTATTTATTGCATGTTTTACTTTCTGGTATTTGAAATGTTTGCTGAAATATATTAGTTGTTATTTGTTTAATACTTCCTTTTTGCTGTACATAACATATTTTGTTGTTTTGAAATATTAAAATTTTCATTGTGACGGTATATAGCAAAGAGATATATTAATAAAAGTGTATTGTAGATAAGCAAACACTAATGTGTAGAATTTTGATATTAAGTTGAATTTGTTATCTAAAATATGTAAGCCTTGGTGTAACGATATAATAATTTTATTATTATATATAAAATTATATTGCATTTAAATTTTTTATGCTTCACTTATGTCTGTACTTATTCTGAATAATGATTTCAAAAGTTTTCTGTATTAAAATAATAATACATTTTTAAAAAATATCAAAAATTAGGCAATTGCTAAAAATATGTAATAAACTCAGTCCACAGAACATGATGCATCTTAGTCTTTAACAGTTTCAATCCATTCTATATAATTTTGTGTTTTTTTTTGTCAGTTTTAATGTTCTTTAATCATAAGGTTGATTTTTTTATCAAGTCTTGTGGTATATGGTATATGTGATTTTATTTGTCATTATATTTAAATATACTTCCAATTCTCACTGGATTTAAAATTAGATTTAGAAATTCTTAGCCGATATTCTATTCAATCACATTTTTTGCCAAATTTTTGTTTTGATAAAACTCAATCCCTGTTATATATTCAAGTGATGACGTTTCATTTAACCTCTTGCCTTGAAGTATTCTTGCTAAATCTACGGAATTTATGTTATCTCCTAGCAGTAAAGACTATAAATTTATGTTACATCTCTGAAGTCTGCATATTGACCTACACATTCAAAAAATTAAGGTTTAGTTTATATATATATCAGTACGAAACGCACTATGCTATTTATACCAGGCTTTATTTTTGTTCTTCAATATTGGTCGCGAGTGTAATAGTTACTATATTATAGTTACCATTCAATATTGTTTGAAGATGTTACTTTACTTACGCAATTACTTTTCTGTAGATGATCTTACTTGAAATGCCTATTCTTAAAATGGCAAAGTTACTCAAGCAAGTTACTTTAAGCAAAATGAATAATTTAATTTAAAACTTAACAAATAGTTATTGCATTTATGTGAACTGCATGAGGAATACTTAAGCACTTGAGCGTATCTTTCAACGTTACACAATGATTTTAGTACTATCCCTTCCTTTCGTATCTGATATGTCATAATATTATTTCAATCATTTCAATGTAGCTCTACTTATTTATATAAAAGTTGAATATCAAAACATGAAACCATTAAGCCTGAATGACATTTCGCGCTGTATATACGGCGGTACTTCACTTGTCAATTAAATATCTTCTTCGATGTACCAAAGCTTCTTAAACTTTGCCTCATCGGTAGATGCCAGCAAAGTAACTTTATAACCATTAACTTTTAACTCATTTCATATCGTATCGTTTTTAATTGCATTCTCAGTTAAATCAAATGCGATAAGAAATATGTGGAGAAAAAATATATTTTATTTATGAAGTATTATACTACGTATTTTGTGAAGGTTCTCCACTTCATATATTATTTTAATGAGTATATCTTTTTATTATAATCTCTTAAATAAATATTTTTTAGTTTATCTAAAACTAAATGACCTACGCTAGAGTCTCATTAATTAAATCACTGCACTGATAAAACAAAGCACTCATAAACCTATACCAAAAAAATATTTAGTTAACATCGTAAACTTACGAGCACATGTAAATCTTTTTCTGTATCTAAATTTGTTAAGGAATGAGAGTATAAGGTAATATAACACCTCATAGATAATTATACCAGATGAACTGCAAATATTTTAGACAGACTTTGTAATTTATTATTCTGAAGTGTTGCGAATGTTTATAAGAACAACTTATTTCAATAAAATACTTATTATCTGGGAAGGGTTTTGCAGTTAAACACCTGAACGAACAGACAGGTTCACTGTAAATAGTATAGATTATATTGAAATTGTGTTTGTTCGAATGACATATCGCTTCTTGGCATATGGATTGGAAACGAACAGAATTACATGACTTTCATAGTACGCCTACAATCTTAATCATTCTCATTGTCCGAAATACCATGCAAGCAGGAACTATCTAAAAAACAGCTGTCAAGCTAATGAGACATCAATGGGTAGATATACCATGCGAATAAGAATAGACAGAGAAAACTGATGTTTACCTGTTCTCTTATTGCATCTATCCACTGATAGTTCCTATTTTCTGAAATGTTTATCTCATCCTCAATATGTGCATTTAAGAGACAGTGTTTTCTAATCCAAATATAGAGTATTTCTTAAAACGTAAAGAAGGTATTAATATAATATCATTAGTATTAAGATTACGTATATAGTTAAGATCTAATATGGATGAGTGTTGTTGACTCATTGAAGATATGATGTTTAAAAGGAGGAAGTGAGTTAAAGCTGTATAACCAAATTGTAGATCAGTGTATAGTTTAAGTACATGTAAATCACTTTGCCTCGGTATACAAATTTGATAAAACTTTGATTTATATTTGGAGTGACGATTCATCATGTATGCTGAACTGTTTAAAGGCCCTTTTAATCCATTTTGAGCATAAGGCGTCAAAGGACATCTTTTTAATATAACTTATTTTATATAAGTAGGTTGCTTTTAGTCTGTCTTAGTTAGGTAATAGCCGGTATCTGTGTACCAGGTCTGCGAATGTTATTTTAGTTCTGACTTAGCTTGCATAATGTCGAACATTTAATGAACCGCAACCAGGGGATGGGTCCGATGGAATTCAGGAAATTCTGCATAGATGATTGCGGTGATGTTGTTATATTTAGATTTTTTTGTGGATATATTCCTCAAAACCTTATAAGATTAATTACTACTGCAATATGTATATTTTATGTAGAACACACAATATATATGAGTAAAATAATGTATTTTTATATATTATTTTCATAGTTTTAACCACAATATTTCGTTTATATAAATTAAAAATTTTATAGTTTTTAAAAAAAATTAATGAATGTATTCTTCTTTTTTTCTTTTTAGTGATTGTCATGCCAAAAGTTACTGTTGAAGACAAAAACAGCTGAAGCTGAAACGCTTTCCCCAATTACCTGTCCACACTTAACAACGGGAAATGTGTGCACTGAGGTATTGCTGACGCTGAGCTGTCACAATTCTTCACCGAAATCGACTATTAAAGAATTAATTGCAAAAAGTTGAGATATATTATTAATAAACTTAACGACAACCGTTATTAAACATAAACCTTAAAAAAAATTCAAACGCTGTATATTACATCATAACTTTCATGCCCACATCATGTGTACATAAATATCTTGACAACATATGCTACAATCGAAAAATATCATCTAACCAAAATCTAAAAAGTACAATAAAAATAAAAAAAAATTTCAACAAATCTACAAGAAAACAATAAACAACCGGAAATAAAAATCAATATCTCTTGAAGTACTGTATTCTATGTGCCATCAATAAAGGATAACAACAATAAAATAAAAACAGGACAGATATACCGTAATTATAGAAGCTTAAAGCGAGTATTAGTGATAGAAAAGTGACCGAGTCAAACTTTAGCAGAACATAATACAAACAATCCCTCCATTTAAGCACACTACAACATAAACATTATCATTGCAACAACTATTGTTACTACAACTATTATCTACTACTTATATAAGCTAACTATTTTATCATCTATACGGAGTATAAATTAAGGTGAGCACTAATCAATGTACATATAATAAATAATATTTCTTACTGGAATTGACTGTCTATTGTATAGAGGATATACGTTTGACATTAATGACTATCTCTTAATTTCTTTGAGATATATGTTCATGATAATCTTTTTATTTCTATTTCTTATGATGATCCTCCGTCACTAGAGTTTATCGTTTTTTGTTTTGATTACAGTTCAGCAATAAGTTAAAATTAACTACATAACATATAGTTAACATAATATATTAAAAGAGAAGAGTGAGAAACTTGTATGGAGAGTGAGTGTCTCTAGTGATGTGAGTTGGTCTTTATTGCACCCAAGAACATAACTTTCTTTGTTTTTATTTAGTTTATTAAGCAGACCCACAACTGTTTTAAATGTGAAAATATTGCTTCATCAAACCTGACACTGTTTTTCTCCTACATGAAGAATGTTATCTTTAAAGTATATTGTTATTACTTAAGATATTGAATAGCATATGGCATTATATTATGACAAATAATTTTATTAAGCGCATGCCAACTGGAAAATTCCATTAAAAAATTCACATTTAATTCTTGCGAAATCTTAGCTAGTTCTCATGTATTTTACACCCACTTTCTTCAGCACTACTATGTCCAATATTAAAATTTATTTACTGAAATATTTAAAAAAATGAAAAAAATAAAAACATTTTGTGGTTTCTACTTGTCAATCATTATACAATTATAATATTATTTATTTTCCTATATATGACATCGCTGTCATGATCATCCTTACTATTCTTTAGATTCATGTAGTGCACAGCGAGCGTTTCCATTAAGCTAATTCATCTATCACCACTTCGATCATCGACACTATCCTTTTTTTGACATTTGCCTTAAAACTCTCAGTAGTTTCCGCTATGAACAATTTAAAATTTGTTTTACTAAAAAGTACTTCAGTCTGGGAGATCTAGTTTATATGGTACTTTATTATTAAGTATAACATTCTTAGTGACTGTCTGGCTTTGTTCTGAGCCAAAAGAGAATTGCTAAGCCGAAATCTCCAGTTTTCGTCAAATACCAGAAATCCCTAACAGGTGACAAAACTTAATTTGAAGTACGAAACCTCTTTTCCTATATCAAATTCGTTTAGTAACAGCAGATTAGCTCTAGATGCAGAGCTCTACTCCGATGAGAGCCAGTATGTCGTTATTGTTAAATATAAATTATTTATATACGACTGTGAAATTATTAATCAAATAAAAAATTAAATCTAATTACTCAACTCAATAGATCTTAATTGTATTGTATAGTTCAATCTATGCACGGCGAGTTTTTGGAATATGTTTGAGGTGTAGTCCTGTTATCAATTGACTGTGATCGTAACTGATGCGATGATCCTGTTTAAAACGGACGTCTAGGGGTACTATCCAGGCTTTCTAAATATAATAGGATAAAAGCAGTTTTATAATTGAATGAATCTAATAAAATTGTATAAGCTATTCTACCAATTGATTTACTTGAATAATGGTTACATCGCATGCTCAGGTCTGAAAACGCGTTAACATAATTCGTTTTATTTTCGTTAAGGATCTCTGTTACTGAATAGTATACCTATACCTTCCCGTCATATATCATTTCTATCTCTACAGATATATACAAACTTATTTCCAGAGTTGATTATCATTTGACTGTTTCATCCAGTGCTGTTTCATCTACACTCCTTCATATTCATGGCAGTTTCTGCAATATTCCCATTGGCTCCACATGTGATGTACTTACTGACCATAGAACCGTATACATTTTTCATTACATAAAGTTACCATATAACAAGTTTCTATTATAACTATAATAGTCACTTTCGTCTGGAAAATTTGACGTTAAATTACAAGACAGTTGTAACTTTGAAACCTGTTTCAAAGTTATCTTGAAAGATTATGGTCAGAAGTCTTTTAGGATCATTTGTTATCGTAGCAAACTGAATGACAGCTGTTAATCACAAGGATTATCACTTGAACTATAAATTTATTTCAAATTTTGATTGAATTATGTTTTAAATTAAACGATTGTTTTTTCATAGTTCTAAAATTATATTTTTTTATAATATAATAGTGTAATAATAAATTTATATATATCAGAATATACATAAATATATATGCTGATTATTTTATACAAAGCAAATAAAATGTCTGTAAAATGAAAGATACACTCTATGCTACACTCTATTTATCGATTCGTCTTTTGTAAAATAGAAAAGTGCTTTCAATACAGTAGAACGTGTAGAACTTAAAGACAGTTGACAGATTCGCCATGTTGATAATATAAGTGCTATAATTCACAAAATAAAAAATATATGTGAATATATTTGATGTTATTCGAATATAATTATTCACATACACTACTTTCTATTACTTACTAAATTACTTTCTATTACTACTAAAATAACTCATAGGACCTTTCTTATACTTGTGTTAACGTTGTAATCATAAATCTACGGTACTATACGATACTATAAATAAATGATTTTCTTAACAAATTATTATTGCAATCATATTAATATTGTTTATAAAGAACGGTTAATTACAAATATTTTTGCAGAATTACTCATGTATATATATGTATATCAAATAATATATAATCAAAATATAATTCCATATTTTTTTTATTTCAGACTATTATCACACTATTCAGTGTACATAATCATTTTCTCTCCGAACACTACAACTGTTTTGAGTCGAGAAGCAATAATAAAGAAACTTTTCAAACTAAGAGCGTGAAGCCAATTAATATAATTACAA